TTAAAAATAGGAACTATGTTCGCAATTCTCCAATCATACGGTACAACTCCTGAGTTTACAGATTCATTAAAAATTCTTGCTAATGGGCTTGCAATTTCGGGTGCCAATTCCTTTAATATTCTTGGATGAAGATTATCTGGGCCCCCCGATTTAGTCCCATTAAGCTGTTTGAGTTTCGCTTCTACCTCAGATATGGTAATATCTACCTCCATATCCTCATTCCCATTTGTCATGCTACCATTATCCCTAAGATCCTCTTTAGTCTTATTAAAGACTGAGGCAAAGTATTTGTTTAGATATTGGGGAATGACTAGATTATCCTTAACCTCCATTCCATCCTCAGTGTTTAGCAGTCCCACTTCTTCTTTCTTTGTTTTCTTCTTATTTATATGGCTATAGAATCTTTTACTATAGGTTTTAATTCCCTTTGCAAGGTCCAACTCTACTTGACTTTTAGACTTTTAGATTTTATCCCTACATGTTCTGACCTCAATAAGGTAGCTTTCCTTGCTGATCCCTCCCTTCTTCCACTCCCTGTATGCTTTCTGCTTTTTCTTAATCACCTCTCTGAGATGCTTGCTCATCCAGCTTGGTCTACTACTCCTGCCTATGAATTTCCCCCCCTTTCTTGGGATGCACGCTTCCGATAGCTTCTGCAGCTTTGATTTAAAGTAATCCCAGGCCTCCTCTGCCTTTAGATCCATAAGTTCTTCAGTCCAATCCACTTCCTTAATTTTTGAAAGTCAGCCCTTTTGAAATAAAAAACCCTAGTAGCAGATTTATTTTTGTTAATCCTTCCATTCAGTTTGAACTGAATTAGCTCATGATCACTTGAACCAAGATTATCCCCTACAACCATTTCTTCTATGAGGTCCTCGCTACTCACCAAAACCAAATCTAAAATGGCATCCCCTCTAGTCGGTTCAGCAACTACTTGATGAAGGAATCCATCAGCTATCGCATCTAGGAAAATCTGAGCCCTATTATTATTACTAGCACTCATCCTCCAGTCTATATCTGGGAAGTTAAAGTCTCCCATGATCACACAGTTTCCATTAGTATTTACTTCATTAAAAACATTAAAGAGGGCTCTATCCATATCCAAATTAGATCCCGGCAGTCTATAGCACACCCCAAGCACTATCCCAGAGTAAAAAGAAAAGGAGTACTGGTGGCACCTTAGAGACTAACCAATTTATTTGAGCATGAGCTTTCGCGAGAGCTCATGCTCAAATAAATTGGTTAGTCTCTAAGGTGCCACCAGTACTCCTTTTCTTTTTGCGAATACAGACTAACACGGCTGTTCCTCTGAAACCTATCCCAGAGTAGTTTTCTTCCCCAATGTAATTTTTGCCCAGACGGACTCTGTCTTATCCATTCCATCGCTTCTTATTTCTTTACATTCTACCTCATCATTGATATACAATGCTACTCCACCGCCTTTACCTTTATTTCAGTCTTTTCTAAACAGCACATACCCTTCAATACCTGTAGTCCAGTCATAACTACTATTCCACCATGTTCTATTATCCCTATAATATCTGGTTTCACTTCCTGCACCAGTAGCTCTAGTTCCTCCATTTTGTTACCTAGGCTCCTTGCATTGGTGTGTGAACATCTTAATTTTTGCTGTTTGGCCTCGCTCACATTCTGTACCCTATTAGGCATTGACATTCTACAGCCATTATAACCTATTAGACTGGTATCCACACCACCCTTCCTCCTTATATACATTCTCCTACCCCCGGCTGTATCCTTTGTTACTTTGTTTTCTTCCCTCTCAATGCTAAAATCCGGCGTGGAGATTACCTGGACATCTCCCAGCCATCTCCCCCACATTCCTAGTTTAAAGCTCTCTTAATCAGTTGTGCCAGCCTCCATCCTAGAAGTCTATTTCTGACCTCTGCCTATGAATGCCTCCCAGTGGCCATACATCCCAAAGCCCTCCTCATAGTACCACTGCCTAAGTCATCTGTTGATAGTCATAATCTTGTCACACCTTTGTTGCCCTTCTCTAGGAACAGGCAGAATCCCACTAAAGATTACCTGAGCCTCGATTTCCTTAAGCGTCTTCCCCATCCTAGCATAGTCTCCCTTAATACTTTGCAGCGAGAATCTAGCTGTATCATTTGTTCCCACATGAAGGATAATTAGGGGATTCTTTCCTGTTCCCTTTAGGATCCTTTTCAACCTCAGGTCTACATCCCGTATCTTAGCACCTGGAAGACAGCACACCCTTCTATTTTCTGTGTCAGCTCTGGTTACAGGCTTGTCTATTCTTCTCAGTAAAGAGTCCCTGATCACATAGACCTGCCTTTTCCTGGTGACGGTGCTATTCTCCCGTCTATCCACAGTTCCCTCCCCTGGTAGAGAGTGGAAAACTGAACAGAGAAGTACAGCCAATCCCTCTCTCTTTCCCTCTTCATCCTGGAACAATAATGGGGAATTGCATCTTCCTTGCTACTCTTAATAATCAGACCTCAAATGAGAAATCAAGGAATTTGACCTGTGCTTGCATTTAGCAGGGCATTCTGACTCCTCTTTTACCCTGGGCTCACTTTGTCCTCCCTTGTCCTCCCTCTCCTGGTATATAACATACTATTAACAATTTGATTTTAAGCACTGAAATCAGATCAGAGAAAAAATTCTACCACCACCTGAAACTTGTTTGTGTTTTCTGTATGTTATATTTGGGACTAACTATTATGTCCTAATATACCTGTAACAGGGCTGCACTTTAGTTTCTCAGTGAGGGGAACCATAACTTTGAATGACCTGAGTGTTTTGCATTTGAGTTCTGTATAGTAACATTACATTAAGCTAAGGTTTCTGCACTGTATGTGAAAAGAAACATTAGATGATGCATAAACTGGTCTATCATTCAGTGGCTTGTGGGAGTCATGCATGCAGGGATTTTGTTCTTCACCTGGGAAGAGGAGGGTTATGTTAATCATCTCTTCATATTTCAGGCCAGAGAGTGATGTGAGAGTTTCCATCAAATCTCTGGGGAAGTTTGGGGCTCTTCTCCAGTCTGAAGAATGGGGGCGAGTGGGGGAAGTGTGAATGCCCTCCCTTTGCTCTATGCCCTTGATTAATCCAGGTTTGTATGCTTTTCAAGTTTCCTTTTCTATCTTTCCTTGGCATCCCATTCCTGCCCATGTGTCTGTGCAGAAAAGACTCCTAAGCAGCTTGTGTCTTTTTCAACTGGAAGGTGTGGGAAGAACACTTCAGTATAAAATTCCTGTGCCTGATCTCATTCTTACTGACCCTATGAGGCACAAACTGCTGAGTCTGGAGGAAGTAAAGAGGCTACTGTTAGTTGAGTAGAAATGCCTGCAATGTGGGCAAGGGTGGGGTAGGAAAGGGTATGGGATGGGGGGAAACCAAGGCATGTATCTAACGTTTTTGGGGTTTTTTTTGCAATATTAAATAGGTCACGAGCTAGCATATTACAAGCACAACCTTTAGCCTGTGATTTGGCTAGGTTGACTATAGCATTTGAGATTTTTTAACGATTTTGTAAAAAAAAATTTATGGCTACATTAATTGCAGTTAGAGGATAAGATAGTACGCTTAAGGGCTTGAGTGGTTTGGCCTTTGACCCAAGAATTGTATGTCCTTTTAGAATTTAAATTAAGCGTATTTAGTATGGAATTGGAGCTTTTAAAATTTTTTTTAATGTTACTTAACATGCTATGGTTTTGTTTTTTGGCTTTTTAAAAAATATTTTGTGACTGCATTTTGAAATTGCGGGTCCTATATGTGTGTGCCCACATTCCCTGAAGCTAAATACCCAGTTATAGTCCAGATCAGGTGAGATGCAGGGAGGGAGCCAAAGACAGCTTCCGGGCTGTGGTAGTTGGATTAAGACCTTGGAACCTGGATGTTTTTTTGGAGGTGAGCTATAACCACGATAGGTCCCAGGTGGTCCGGTCTGGGGGTAAGCCAAGTGTGTGGGGGGTTTTTTTGTGTTTTGGTTTTTTTTTACCCATTTGCTGCTGTCTCTTGTAGGGAGTTGCACATGCTGGCCAGTTTTGAAACAGGTATTTTGTGTAACATGTACCCAGGGCGGGTCCCAGGAGGCTACATCAGGTATGTTTGTCAGAAGGATTAACATGGGGGGCCACGTTTGTTACCTAAAAGGATACAATATAAACAAAATGAATTTGACTTCGTTTGCCACCCCAGATAAGGTTAGTTATATGCGGTACTGAGGAGTAGTTTAGCCGCCCTCAATAAGGTTAATGCACTCGTGCTGAGAGGTTTTTACCGCCTCAAATAAGGGAAAGGTTGTATTAAGTCCGGACATAAAAGAATTAAGGTTATTGTACATGAGATGCATCTAGATACGGGGAATGAATGTGTGTGTATGAATGAATAAAGTGCGGTATGAGCCGCTCACCAGGTCTAAGATTTAAGCTGACTCCAGCCGCATCAGGGATACCCCATGTGGGAGTTCTGAAAGCAAGGGGGGTCAGCCGAATCTTGTGGCCCAGCGGGTAGGAATTTTTCCTTATTCATGAGCCGCTGACCAGGTTCGGACATAAGCCACTAGTCAGTGAAATCTGTGACCCAGTGGACCCTTTCCTTGGGATGCGAGAGAGAGTGAGAATTTCTCTAGCTCATGAGCCACTGACCTAGCAGACAGGGTGCCCTCCCTGGAGTGTGTGGAAATCTTCCTTAGTTTATGAGCAGACAGGGCACTCCCCTGTGAGATTGGAAAATGGGTGGGGGACAGTCTAAGAATTCCCCCTCACTACTAAAGGGCACCCCTGCGTACTACATGTATGTGCATTATGGTCCTAGGACCTGCAGGTATTTAGAAAATTGGAATTGCTACACGCGTGATCATCCATCTAAACAATTCCCACTAGAAGGTACCTTCGATCTAGATAACCTTACATACCTCAGAGGAACCCTTATATCACCAAAAGCTTCTGATACACAGTGGGAGCAATTTGTCTATTGGTGGGAGGAAGCTACAAAGAGACTCCATGAGTCTCGAGTGCGGAGTCTGAAGGACTCCCAGGAAAAATTAAAAACTCAAGTACAGGATTTGAAAATTAAATGCAAAGCATCCGGATGCCTCCCTGCCCAAACCACTTTATTAACTCCCTTGGCTTCTTTATATCCCCAATTAGTTAAGGCTGAAAGTGAAGAGGGAAAGAAATGGGTTAATTTAAAAATTCAGCTTGGCCTAGAGATAAAGAGAAAGCTGGTCTGCGTTCAAGGTCAAGAATCAATTCAGTCTGCCTTGCTCTGCATGCCAAGCACCAAAAAAAACCCAGCTGGCTGTGAAAAATATAGACAGAGGCAAACAAAGGCAACACAAGTTATAGCACTGAGATTACAATTTGCAAAGGTTGGCTGCCCAGTGAGACCAAACAGTCTGCCTTTGCAACCCTGGAGCTGATGTGGTTTGGGGATACTGAAGAAGCCACAGGCAGCCGGCTTGGACTGGAATAGTGAGCAAAGGTCTCTGAAAGGGACACCCCAAGAGACTCCAGGGGAAAAAACAAAACAAAACCCCAACAGCAGAAGCAAGTTGGAGATTTTTTTGCAGTGTACCTCTGGACAACCGGTGCACAGGATAACCTCCCGTCCACCTCTCTTTCTCTCCTCCTGGCCAGCCCGGGCAGTGTGTTTGTGAGTATGAAGGGGAAAAAAAAGGGTGCTGGTGGGTCTACCCCCAGTCATAGCAGGACCGGGCAATAAGAGGAGCTGCAGAAACGGGAAGAGATGTGTACCTGATAGCTAGAGAAAACTGAACAGTTAAAATGCCAATTGGCCGTGCATTCTGTCCAAGTGACAAGCCTTACGGGGGAGGACTCGGGTAGCCTTGTAAGTGAGAATGTTTAAGGGCAGGACCAGGGGTTAGTTGAGGGGGGTTAGTTGAGAAGCCCACTCTCCTTGCTAAATTAATAGTGGAACAAAGCCTGTGTCCATGGAAAGGAATGGTTCAACAAGAAAAAAAAAAAAAGGATTGGGCCCAGGCAAGCAGGCAGGCAACAGATAGAAAAATTGGGAAACGGGTTGGAAACCTTGAAAGCATAGTATCAGAGGGGTAGCCATGTTAGTCTGGATCTGTAAAAGCGGCAAAGAATCCTATGGCACCTTATAGACTAACAGACATATTGGAGCATAAGCTTTCGTGGGTGAATACCCACTTCGTCGGATGCATGTAGTGGAAATTTCCAATATTGCTTGCATATTTATACCTGCCTCTGGAAATTTCCACTACATGCATCCGATGAAGTGGGTATTCACCCACGAAAGCTTATGCTCCAATACGTCTGTTAGTCTATAAGGTGCCACAGGACTCTTTGCCTCTTGAAAGCATAGTGGCAGAAGTAAAGGACGCAGTAAATGCAAATGTGGGAAATTCAGATCCCTAAAATAATACTTGGAATGGTAAAATCTGAGTTGATGAAGGTGTTATGGAAGGAATTAAGCAGTGAAACTTTGTAGAAATGTGAAAAGAGAAAAGGTGTTATGAAAAGAAAATTCCTGGTTTCTTTGCAGCCATTCTGAAGGAGAAATGGACCCTTTTCCAAAGGAATGTCTGTAAATAATCCAGGCAAAGAGGTTATTTAAGTAGAATCATTTGACTATGAAGAAGTTAGTTGAATTTGCTAAAAGAACACTCCTGGTGTGTATAATTTTTGTTTTATAAGTCTGAGATGAATTGGTGTTGTTTTAAAGTTGTAAAACCGAGAAATACTTTTGCCAGATACAGGAAACTAGTGTTGTTTAATTTTGGTATTTAGCATTTAATCCTTAAAGTAACTTAATGCTTTACAAGATGTGAAATGTTTTTAAATAAAGACCAAAGTTGTGGCTGCAGCAGGGCAGTCAAAGCCAGGAGAATGGGAAAATATTTTAAATCTGTTTTTGGTAACAAAACAGCAGATAAGAGTTTGTAGTAAAAAAGAAAAAGACCATGCCCCACACTAAGCCTTAAGGTGGCTCTGTGTAATCAAATGGTCACTTTGCCAAAGGGGAGCCACAATACGTTGTGTTTTCCTTTTCAAATCACTGTGTGTTTTGAAAGCAGGAGTTAAAAGTTAATTGTGTCCTTCGGAGACCAAGTCTCTAAGTGGCTGATAATTTTGAATCCAAAAGCAAACCGAAAGCATCTGTGTTAATGCAAATCACCTAAATGATAAAGATAGAAGTCATTGAAATATTACCTGCCTATAAAACAAACACAGGAAAATATGGGGGTAATTCCTCTGTTTTACCTGCAATCAGCAAGAGTATTTGTATAAGAACGAAATATTTTAAACAATGACTGATCGTCCCAGAAGGGGTGGAAATACGTTTTTGTCTTTCAAGAAAATTAGAAAAAGCTTATTGTTGTATCAACCAAGCGAGGTACTAACAAGCTTCAACAGGACTTTATTTTCAAAGTGGAAACCTCTTTACCAAGCTGCTTCTGCACCCTCTGTAGCTCTCTCCCAGCCTCTCAACTCCTCCCCCCTCCTTCCTGTTTCCTGTCCTTTCAGACTCCCAACAGCCAGTGCTCCCAATTCTAATAATTACAAGCAACATCTAAACACCACATTCCCTCCTCTCTTAAGAAACTCTCCCAATTAAAATAAACATTATTGTTCTAACCACAGGAACAAATATGAAACAAGTCACTACACTGCTGGCAGAAATATTACACTGAAAACACTGTGGATACTACATAACAGTCTCTAGTCCAGACAGGTGGTTGTCTGGGTCTGACAGGCCGTCTCTCAAGCCCCAGTTCCAGTGCAATGTCTTGTTGTGTTGGTACTATGGTGAAGTCATCCAATGCAGACTGGGTGTTGGCATAATCTCCTCTTGGTGCATAGGCAGGTGCAAGATAAGAAGCATTTCATACCCGCCCATCAGAAAGTCGATAGATGTAAGGTCCCTTCTCTATGATTTTAAGAGGAGCTGTGAATTTATGGTCCCCTTTGCATAAAATTCCAGGTTTTCATATTCTAACAAAGGAACCACACTCAAACTTTGGTTCCTTAGCACACCGCCGCTTGTCTGTGAAAGCCTTAGACTTTGCTTGTTTCTGTTCAACTGTTTTTCTCACATCATCCTCGTTTGGGGCATCAGGTCGTGCCTTTAACAATCCAGCAATGTTCAGTTTAGTATTCATCTGTTTCCCATGCAGTAACTCTGTGGGTGATCTTTGCATTTTGGCATGTCGTGTAGCCCGGTATTCTTGCAAGAAATCAGTAGTGAAGGGTATTCACAATCACCCTTCCAGTTTAGCCATTTGCAAACTCTCTTTCAAACTTCTGTTAAACCATTCCATTTCCCCATTGGCTTGAGGGTAATATAGGGATGACCTTCTGTGTAAAATGTTCCTCTGTGCTAGAAAAGTTTCAAACTCCAGGGAAGTAAATTGACTACCATTATCTGAAACCAGTTCTCTGGGGTTAACTTCCTTGCTAAAAACTGAAGACAGGAACTTAATTACTGTAGCAGAAGAGATTTGTGATGTAAATGCTATCTCAGGCCATTTACTGAAATAGTCTATTCAAGTGATGGCATAACGGCAGTCAATTGGAGCAGTATCAAAGGGTCCTACAAGGTCAATTGTCACTTTTTCCCATGCAGATTCAGGAAGAGGAACAGGCTGTAATGGAGGGGTACATGTCACTGCTGTTTTATCATGCATTTGGCAAGTGACACAGGATTTTATGAGTGCTTCAGTTTGAGAGTCCATCCCTGGCCACCAATACAGATCCCGTAGTCGTCGTTTGGTTCGGACAATTCCTTGATGAGTACCGTGTGCCAGGTGTTTTGACTGTAATTCTTCTGGCACAAGGAGCCGGTGTGTACCTCGTAGCACACAGCCATCAAACAAAGAAAGTTAATCCTGAAATCTAAATAAGGCAGCAAAACTGGGTCAAGGTTTTTAGGATGACTGGGCCATCTCTTTGTCAGAAATTCCCATAGTTTTTGTTGAATTGGACACGCTGAACAAGCATCTTGAAATTGTTCTCTTGTAACTGCAGTGAGAGTGCTTGTAATAAGCTCAACCACTACATCCTCATCCTCCGGTGGACCGTCTGGTGAAGGCAAAGGCAGGCGAGAAAGGCAATCAGCGACCGCATTTTGGTTTCCAGGCGTATATTGCAGTTCATAATTGAAAGAGCGTAATCTTGCAGACCATCGAGCAATACGGTATCCTGCTCTTCCCAGTCCTTTCGTGGTGAGCCACGTCGTCAAAGGGCTGTGGTCTGTGCGCAACTTGAACGCGCGGCCGCACAGGTAAGTTCTCCATTTTTCAGTAGCCCAGACACAAGCAAGTGCTTCTTCTTTGACTGTAGAATATTTTCTCTCAGCATTACTTAGTGTCCTTGAAGCAAATGCAACAGTCCTCTCTGTGTTTTCCTTATGCAGTTGTGTAAGAACAGCCCCAAGTCCATAATCAGAAGCATCAGTAGTTACAATTGTGAGCAGTGCAGGAGTGAATAGTGCAAGTACTGGACCATGTACAATCAAGTCTTTCACCGTTTAGAAACTAGCTTGTGCATCCGTTGTCCACACTGAAGTTGAACTTCTCCATAGTAATTCCTGTAACAGTTCAATGACAGAAGCATAATTGGGAATGAATTTTGCAAACCAGGAGGAAAGAGCCAAGAAGGAACGTAAGGTTTGCAAATCTGTTGGAGGCAATTTGAAATTGCCAGGATATGAACTGTTTCAGGTTTTAGTCCAGCCTGTGAAATTGTATGCCCTAGAAAGGAGAGCTGTTTGTTTAAATTTGGACCTATTGAGCTGGAGGCCTGCTGTGCTGATGCAGTTTAGTACAGACTGCAGGTTATTGTAATGCTCCTCAGAAGTATTTCCAAACACGATAATATCATCCAGATAACATCGAACTCCATGTTGATTCTTCAGAATCAATGACATCATTTTTGAAAGGCACTTGGGGCAGATGCGAGACCATATGGAACACATTCAAAACAAAATAGTCCCTCGTGTGTAATAAATGCTGAGAAGTCTCTGCTATCTTCATGCAACATAACCTGGTGGTATGCGCTCTGCAAATCAAGAGTAGAAAACATCTTTGCTGCACGGAGTTCTGCAAATACCTCTTCTATGTGAGGAAGAAGATGACTGTCAATCACAATAGCTTTATTTGGCTCCCTTAAGTCCACACAAAGGCGAATGCCTCCACCCTTCTTCTGCATCACTACTATAGGTGAAACCCATTCCGAGGAGTCGATCTCTTCAATAATGTCCTTTTGAACAAGTTTTTAAAGTTTCTCTGAAACAGCTTCCCTGACTGAAAATGGTAGGCACCATAACTTCTGTCATACAGGCATCACATTATTCCGCATTTTAATTTTATGCAGAAACCCTTAAGCACAGCCGAGTTTCTCCTCAACCTGATGTTGGGTCCCAGATGAAACTGGTGTGTGTACTGCAAGAGTGCTATGCTGAGGAAGATCAATTTGTCCATTAACTACCCTGAGATTTAAAGCAGTCAATAAATCTCTGCCAAGGATAGGAGTGCCTTTGTGGACAATGTAGAACTCTGCAGTTACACAGCGATCACCAAAAGTAACTATTACTGGCAGGCAGCCATGTACTGGAATATGGTTTTTCAAATAGCACATCAAGTGAAGTTTGGATTCTGTAAGAGGCACATCTTTAAAGTAATGCAGCTAGATGGAATCAGGTAGTATAGATACTGCTGAGCCAGTGTCCAACATTAGCTGAATAGAGTGTGATTTGCCTGAGGGTATGGCGGAAATGTTTACAGTGCACTTTATCTGTTCTGGAATATGTGCAGTAATGATTTTGTCCACGCTCAGCACAGTAACATCTGGTATTGTAACTGCATGCACCTGTTGATTGAACTGGCTACTGCGACATACTTTAGCAAAATGTCCAATCTTTTTGCAATGATTGCACTGAGCTACTTTTGCCGGACATCCTGTGTAGCTTGCAAGGTGTTGTGAGGATCCACAACGAAAGCATGCTTTTACTGTATTTTGAATTTGCTGATTTGGTGGTTTTTCATTAGTTTTCCTCTTGCAACTGTGTGTCTGCAGTGGTAGTGAACTTTTCTACAAAGGAGTCACAGCCTGGACTGTGCCTCCTGTATCCATGCTCGTTATTTTGGCTTCAGATGTAGCTGACTCAATCTGAGTAGCAATGGTTATTGCTTTTTCTAGTATAAGCTGTGGTTCTAGAAGTAAGTGTTCTCTTACATGAAGCATGATTGTTTTCTCAATGAGCTGGTCTCTAATCATCTCATCTGCCATATTCCCAGAGTCACAAATTACAATCAGACTCCTCAGAGAAGCAATATACTGCATTATAGTTTCCTCTGGTTTCTGCTCACGCTGGCGAAATCTGTAGCGATTAGCTACTACATTCACTTTTGGCACAAAAAAATTCTTTAATGCAGTGAGTTCAGTCTCATATTTATCATCTGCAAGGGGAGAAGTGTAAAAATATACGCTGCCCTTCTGCTCCAAGGCATGGATTAGCAGAGCATGCTTTCTTACTTCAGAAATCTCTGTAGCACTGATTGCAAGCAGATAAGTCTCAAACATATGGATCCAGGTAGTAAAAGCAATTGGAGGCTCACCTGGGCTTTGCAGAAAGGGTGCAGGTGGGTTGAGAGGCAGAACATCCCTCCTCGTCGCCAGAATGTTGTAACAACCAGGCGAGGTACTAGCAAGCTTCAACAGGACTTTATTTTCAAAGTGGAAACCTCTTTACCAAGCTGTTTCTGCACCCTCTGTAGCTCTCTCCCAGCCTCTCAGCTCCTCCCCCTCCTTCCTGTTTCCTCTCCTTTCAGACTCCCAACAGCCAGTGCTCCCAATTCTGATAATTACAAGCAACATCTAAACACCACACTAATGCCAGCTAAAGAGCAATCCAATATACCATGCATTTACTGGCACAATAGACATTGTGTTCTGTGTTCTATGTCCTTGTGGTGTTTTGTCTTGTGACTAGAATTGTTGTGTTTTAATTTTCCACAGGACAGCCTAGTTCAAAACCAATGGAAGGATTAGAACTAAATGCAGATACTTGTTTTATCCAGCTTGAAATACAAAGTGTTTTGGATACTATCAGGAAATACTAAGGTTTTAATATACGTGACCGAGGCTGTGCCAAAAGCTGAGAAATGTTCTTGGAGTTCTACTGGGTGCACTTCACATCCATCAGGATGGATGGATCCTGATGGATCCAAAACTGGCCATTGTGCCCAAGCAGAGGGCCCCTCCCTGCTAGGTAAGTGTCCAGGAGCAAAGGCGGGAATGATTGCTGCAGTTAAACGAGACTGGTTTGCACCAGATTTTTCCCCTGTGGCCCAGCACTACTGCCAACAATGTGAGATCTGCCAGCAGCATAATGTTGGTAAAACTGTTAAAGTTAGGCAGGCAGCACTTCCCCCTCCCTGGGGACCTTTTGTAAATATTCAGATTGATTTTATTCAAATGTTTAAATGTTGTAATTATGAGTATGTGTTCGTTTTAGTTGATGTATTTTCAAATTGGGTTGAGGCCTTCCCTTACAGAAAGGCAGATGCCAAGACTGTTGTGAAACTTTTGCTTAAGGATTTTGTACCGCGATTTGGCATACCTGTGAGTATTAACAGTGACTGTGGAACTCATCTGACTGGACAGATTGTAAAGGAGTTATGTGCAGCTTTGCAGATCCAACACAATCTCTACTGTCCCCACCACCCGCAGTCTGCTGGGACAGTGGAACGCCAAAATGGGATTTTGAAAAATAAACTGCCCAAGATCTGTGCTGAGATGAACTTAAAGTGGCCAGATGCCCTCCCATTAGCATTGATGAGTATGAGGGCAACTCCCAATCGAAAGACTGGACTCAGCCCTCATGAGATTCTGACAGGACGCCTGATGCGGATTCCAGCGGCACCTCCGCTGACCATTCATTTAATGGATGATACAATGCTTAATTACTGCCAGGCACTAATGAAATGTGTCAGGTCTTTTTATACACAGGTGAAAGAAGTACTACCCAAGGATCCTGAGCAACCCTGCCACTCGTTGGAACCAGGAGACTGGGTCTACATAAAGATCCATCAGCGAAAGACCACCCTGACCCCGTGCTGGAAAGGCCCTTACCAAGTCCTGTTAACTACCAACACCGCTGTGAAGTGCCAAGGACTGCCTGCCTGCCTGCCTGCCTGGACCCATGTTTCTCACTGCAAGAAGGCCCCTCCACCTCAAGATGACCCTCCGACTGCTGATCAGCCTGTCCCTCCTTCTGGTACTTCTTTTCCTCCTCCTAAATAGCAGGAGAAAAGGACAAGGTGAAGTGCTGGTAACCTCTCCCTTATCCACTAACAGAACCACCATACATTCACCATCTGCTGGAGGAACCCAGCTATTACAGGGTGACGTGCTGGTAACCTCTCCCTGTATGATGCTGAACCACGACTGTTCCAGGAAAGAAGAAGGTACGTTCGTTCCACTGAAACTGCCAAAGTCCAGGGATTCTTAACTACAAAAGACATTAAAAATTGGCCCTGGTGGAAGAGACGGAGTATCGTAACCTGGCAGGGAGAAACTTGTGGGAACCGCGCTTGGGACTGTGGTATTGAGTGGTGGTTTGGGTTTATTCCAGGGTCTGGGCTTTGTGCCTACGGACAAGTACCATCAGCATGCGCTGCCCTCCCTAATTGGCTTCCCGATGACGAACCCCAAAGATGCCTTGCTGCCACGAACATTACTCCCACCATCCCCTCCACCTTTGCTACCCCCCCCGCCCCCTGTAATTTACCCAATTACAGACAATACTGTATATTCTAATGAAACCCATTGGCCAAGGCCTTCACATCTTAGTGATTTATTGAAATTTTGATCAGAAAGATTTTTTTTTTAAGGTTCAGAATGGTTCGTATGAGCGAACAATTGAGTGGAAAACAAATAGGTCGGTGGAAATAGAGAGAGATGATATCACTACAGATGAGCCCCAAGAATCAGAAATTGAGATTAATGGGTTCTATAGCGAGGTAGATATGATGGCCGTTCCTGGAGTCTGCAGTATGTTAGATGAATGAGACCCTTATTGTTATTTGGTCACCCAATTAGTGAATAATCAAACGAATACCCAAAGAATCTGTTCTGCCACCGGAACTTTTACCTGTACTGAAATCATTCCAGTAGCTAATAATTTAATCTGTACCATATTGCAATATACCTATGCTATTAATTCTAATGCCTCTTGGAAGTATATGAAAGAGTTTAGCCGACAGATGTGGTATGGTACTTCACCAAAGAGAAATGTGTTAGGATATCGATGGACTGTGGGACTGTAAAATTCACACTGCCCTTATCCAGTTTTCAGGTCACCTCTACATATCCAGATTGCTCAAAAGGGGCTGCCATTAGGTTAGCACAGCAAAGGGCCTGGGTTTCCTCTAGAAAGAAGAGGGACTTGGCTGGACACCTATGGGATGGTGCCAATAGTGAAGCAGCAATTTGGAATATTTATAAAGGCCAACAACATGAAGAGAAATTAGGACCGTTGGAAAAAGCCACAGGTCTTATTACTAGAGCACAGTTGACCCAGGTACAGGCTGGGGTTGGTGAATTACATGTTATATTTGCCCTTAGGTCAAGGACCCGGAAGCTGTCGATAGGGATGGTATTGAATATCACTGAGACTGGGAAGGAATGGCAGTGGAACTGGCATGTTCAGAAATTTAGAATTTTCTGAATGACCAGCTGATGGCCATTCGGAGTGATTTTGAGCATCAGGCTTGGCCCACTGCCCTTACAGATACTTCAGGAGTATCACCTGATCTGTGGCCATGGAGACATAGTTGGAGATTTTCTGGGTGGAGGTGCAGATGTTCGCAGTGCTGCTTGCAAGCATACGGACCGGTTGGAGGGGTTTGGGCTCCCACATACTGAATCCTGCTTGGTCCGTGGGGAGGATGCATGTGGGATTGGATAATTCACCGTGATTTTTGGGAAATTAAATACTTGGTATACCTAATCGATTTAAAGTCAGTGCTCCTGGAATAACACCCGACATGTGGATAGCGATAGGGAGTCAATGGACACTCTGGCTGTTAGAACCCCCACAGCTTCAGTGGTTACAAAAGCTGAAGCTAGGAGAAGTTGTCACTATTCATGACAACGTTTGTTGGGAGGATATGGGACAAGGAACTACCCTGACAGAACACCTGCTTTTCCAAGCTAATGACAGCTGTGTGCATGTTAAGGCCATCACTTTACAAGACATACATTTTAATTTCACCACTGCTGCAGGCAATTATTTTACAATCAGCCCTTAGGTTTCAGATATCCTTTAATTGGACTGCCTTAGTACCTGACCGGTTCCAAAATTTGCTTTCACTCCTACCAGGGGTTCAGAAAATCTCTGAATTACAAGGGCAAATTCATATGCTCCAAAATATATATCAAGTTGAAAAGTATGCTTTTCATACAGCCTATAGAGTGTCTATTTTATGTACTAACTATTTTTTGTGACTAAGGTTGTGCGACAACCCCATTATATTATTACTATGGGAACGTTATTGCTTTTATTGTTGTTGTTTAGTTTCGGATTATGTTGTTGTAAAGGATGTAATAATCATAACACCTTCCATGTTCATACTAACCATGCATTGTCGTTGGATCCAATCAAAGCACATAAGGCTAAATCATTTAATTTGGAACCTGACATACAAGGTTTGATGAATATAGAGATTTAAGCATAATAGTTGTGCTAGAAGCACGAAACGGGGGAGTGTGGAAGTGAGGATAAAGGGAATTTGGATGCAGGCCTCTTAGCCTGACTCCTGCTCTTTCAGAGAAAACTAACTCTAACCGTCTTAACACGAGACTTAAAGCAAGGCCTGGGCGAGTGGGAAGCTAGTGGGAAAGAACTGTAAGAGATGTTGTTTGACATTGTGTAAGATAAGAATGAAATGTAGACTACAGCAGAAATTGCTGAGAAAAATAAGATATTAGGAAGGAATATGTATAAACAAAATGCAGCTGTTGATCATTACTGTATGTAACAAAAGGTATAAATGCTTGCCCTCATTGTTTATCTTTTGAGAGACCTGCCTAGACAGGGTGAATGCCTGTCAGTGTGCACTCTCTCCTCCTTGCAATTGCGAGAGAATAAAAACTGTCTCTGACTGCTGCAACCAACCTAAGAGTGAAGGCTGCGTTTCTTCCACAAATGCACCTCTTCAGTTAAAAGGAATATCTATGCAACAACTTCAAAAATATTTAATACAGGTCTGTTTGTGCTAAAGAATTGAGAAAAATAAGAACAAAAGCATAGCTTGTATTATAAAAGACTTGGTCCCTATTAACAAACTAAGTTATTCTGTGTATTAAATTTGGGTTACTGAAAAAAAGAGAATTATAAAACAAACAATCAAAAATCTTATTATGCTAACCAACTTAAGCTGTTTAAGGGTGCATCCCACAGACCCAAAGACACCAGGAGATATCAGTGCACACTACTCCTGGGGGAAGTCTGTGCCACTGTGCACGCGCAGAAATTATGTCTCCTGCAGATTTATTTGCTTCCATGCAAAAAAAATGACTTTCTGATGGGGAAGCAAAGGGAAGCCACAAGAGCGGTCATGTGACCCTCCCCAGCAGTATGTTTTGGGTGCCCAGGGCATCCGGCAGAGAGGTAAATCACAGTGGTGCGAGGGGCGGGACTGGGGAAGACCCGGCTGGTGGCTCCTACCTTGCACTGGGCTCAGCTGCTACTCCAGATGAGGCCTCACCAATGTTTGTGAGGGCGGCCAGCACATCCCTCGGCCCGCGCCGCTTCCCCCAGCCCCCATTGGTCTGGAGCGGCGAACCGTGGCCAGTGGGAGCCGCGATCAGCTGAACCTGCGGACGCGGCAAGTAAACAAACTGGCCCGTCCCGTCAGGGGCTTTCCCTGAACAAGCGGCGACGGCCCTAGTTTGAGAACCACTGCTGTAGGACATATATACTCAGAAGGCATTGCTGCTGACTCAGTTGAGCAAAGCAATAGTGTTAAGGCAGGGTAAAATAGAAGCTTGCTCACTAAATATGGGCACTAGCGTAAAGTGTGGATGTACTGAATCATGTCAATTACAGTTGATGCAACTCCTTTGGAAGTTCTTGGTAGGCTGGAGCTGAACAAGCTTCCACAAAGACAGAGTGAAAATGTTTATTTAGATGTATTCGTGACTTTTACAAGCAGTAAGACCCATGCTTTACCCAAATGAGATTACAATCTAAAATAGAGAAGAACACGGAAAGAATTAGGAAAATATTTTAGGGCAGCGATAGTGAGAATAAAATAAAACAGAGTGGCTGCTGTTTGCACTCCTAAAGCGCCTTCTCTTTGGGGGGCCTGAACCCCAATCCTTGATGCAAAAATGTATTGTCCTTATTTTAATTTATTACTTGCATTAGAGTGGTGCTAGGAGACCTAGTCTTGGACCAGGACTCCATTGTGCTTGGTGCTGTACAAACACAGAACAAGAAGACCGTTCCCATTTCTGAGCCCCAGAGAGAAGCAATGGAAGAAGCATGTGTAGGAAAATGAATGGGTTTTTAAAAACCAAACATCATTCCTGGAATCAAACTTTCCCACCAACTGCCACCTCCTACTGGCCAGGCTTTCCCATCTCCAATATCTGCTAGCCTTACAGAGGCTTCATGGTTTTGTTTGTTTGTTTTTCTGCTGTATTCGGAATGTCTCATGGTGCTGCTGCTTATTTATGCAGATAGGCATCAAGCCAGAGCTCCCCAGAATCCTTCAGAGAGCTGCAGAAGAGAGAGGGGAGCCCAATTAACCATAGTAATTGTTGTGCTACGTCAGCCCAGTAGCTTTATCTTAACTCTGACATTTCCTACCTTTTGAGTGCTTGATTCTGCCACCTTAGCATTCTTTTAGTACAGTGTTTTAAATATAATTTGATATACTTTTAGCATATCCCCTCTTATCTGTATCCTTTCTAATGTAGACAGTCCTGTTCTTTTTAATGTTTCTTCATTTGGAAGTTTATTTATGCCTTTAATCTCATGTCTCTGAACCAACTTTACTTCTGTTATATGCTTTTTGAGATGGGGTTACCTGTAGTGAATACAGTGCTCAAGGTGAGGGCTTCTCATTAATTTAAACAGTGGCATAATATTTTCAGCATTCTCTATCCCATTCCTTATGGAGCCGAACACTGTCTGCTTTTTTGACTGCTGCTTCACATTGAGCAGAATTCGCCATTGAGTTATCCAGAATGGTACCTGGGTCTTTCTCTTCAATTGTTTCAGTTAATTTAGAAACCAACCAAGGTGTATGAATATTTCAAATTAAATTATTCTTCCCACTGTGCATTATCTTGCAATTGTCAACGTAAGTTCCATCTGCAATTGTGTTACCTAGTCACCAATCTTTGTTAGGTTCCGAAGTCTTCCCTGGTCTTGGCTGAATTAAATACATTTGTCATCTGCAAACTGTACCAGCTCTCTGCTCCCCTCGTTGACAGATCTTTAATAAATATATTAAATAACATGCTAATACTGATGGCTCTTGTGATAACCCACAACTAACCTCTTCTGCCAGGATAAAAATGGGCCATTTTCCTACCTCTTTATTTTCTGGCTTGTAGCCAGTTTCTGATCTGTGACAGTCCTTTGTCTCCCATCCCAAGAAACTGAAGTCCAGTTTCTCTTCAGAAAAGGTATGACAGGCAGTGGTTGGAGCAGTTTCCCTTATGCTGTCCCCTGCCAGTATACCTCCTTCCTTATCTAGAGGATCCCTCTAGGGGTCAAAGGGCAATTCTTTCGACAGTCCATTCCATCCTATGCATCTCTGCTGACATTAATCAACAGTTAGATTTCACGTAGTGATTGAGAGGTGAAAGGCTCCCTGTAACACTTTCAGGGCCCTGACCCATCCAGTCCCATCATATCTATCACTTCTACTCACTATCTCATACTGTGCACCTGTCCTCCAGTTTGCAGTGCTGTGGACTCCTCTCATCTGCTAGTGCACTGAATCTTCCAGATCAATACTTACTGCACAATGTCTGCAAAGCCGGTGAGAAGGGGCTTGCAGTGGTACTCGATGCCGTGCTTGGCACACAGGGACTTCACCAGGGGGGCCACCTTCCAGTAATTGTGTCGAGGCATTGTGGGGAAAAGGCTGTGAAAGAGAATGAGAAGAAGTTGAATTAGGATTCATACCCTTTCCCAGTGCCCCAGAGGGATCTCTCCCCTCTCCAGGAACCTGAAATGGTCCCATATAGGGTTTTTGTTTCTTCTCCAAGGCCTATATCTACAGGTGCCCCACAGAAATACCATCTTTCCTCAGACGTCCAAACCAACTGATTTCCCCATAAAGATCCTAACCCTCCCACTGGGAAACACTCACTGATGCTCTACAGGGTTCCTGTCCCTGGGCGCGGGCCCATACTCACTGATGCTCAATATGGAAGTTCAGATGCCCAGTGAACCAGTCATTGAACAGAGACTGATCCACGTTGCATGTTGCCTGGAGCTGGAGGAGGAAGAGAGAAAAGTGAGTGTGGTCTCATGTCTCATCTCTCTGGATGGAAGTTATAGTAACAGAATGCCACTAATCATCACCTACAGCCCCCAACTAAAACCTCTCCAGCGCATCATCAAGGATCTACAACCTATCCTGAAGGACAATCCCTCACTCTCACAGACTTTGGGAGACAGGCCAGTTGTCGCTTACAGACAGCCCCCCAACCTGACGCAAATACTCACCAGCAACTACACACCACACAACAGAAACACTAACCCAGGAACCAGTCCCTGCGACAAACCCCATTGCCAACTCTGTCCGCATATCTTTTCAAGGGACACCATCATAGGACCTAACCACATCAACCACACCATCAGGGGCTTGTTCACCTGCACATCCACCAATGTAATATATGCCATCATGTGCCAGCAATGCCCCTCTGCCATGTACATTGGCCAAACTGGACAGTCTCTACACAAAAGAATAAATGGACACAAATCAGACATCAAGAATTGTAACATTCAAAAACCAGTAGGAGAACACTTCAATCTCCCTGGACACTCAATAACAGACTAAAAAGTGGCCATTCTTCAACAAAAAAACTTCAAAACCAGACTTCATCAAGAAACTGCAGAACTGGAATTAATTTACAAACATGACACCATCAAATTAGGCCTGAATAAAGACTGGGAGTAGCTGAGTCACTACAAAAAGTAATTTTCCCTCTGGTGATAGTCACCCCTTCTTGTCAACTGTTGGGAATGGGCCACATCCACCCTAATTGAATTCACCTTGTTAGCACTGACCCCCGACTTGGTAAGGCAACTTCCATCTTTTCATGTGCTGTATATTTATACTTGCTTACTGTATTTTCCACTCCATGCATCTGATGAAGTGGGCTCTAGCCCACAAAAGCTTAAGCCCAAATAAATGTGTTCGTCTTTAAGGTGTCACAAGGACTCTTTGTTGTTTTTACTGACACAGACTAACACGGCTACCCCTCTGGAAAAACATTAAGATAACTAGGAATCCTCCCCTCACACACCCCACCTTGCTCTGAATAACCATAAGTCACTGGGGGGGGGGGGGCAGAGAGGAGGAAGTAAAGCCTTTTAAAAGCAGGCTTGTGTCTGAGACTTTTTATCCAGAAACTAAGGGAGGCTGTCTGTGAAACACTGGATCCCCCAGTGACACAGGGTGTGCTGAGCAACTGTTCAGAAGCAAAATATAACTTCTTAGACAAATTCCCTTTTCTAATATATCAAAGTGTGAACCCTGAGTTGTCATATTTGCTCTCTGTGTAACTTGTTTGCTTTTCCTTACTATTTCATGTTGGAATCTGATTTTTTTTTCTATTTTTTTTTCTTTGTTACCCCAAGGAGTGTGCAAACTGTGGAGTTTGTGCCAAAGCGAATTAATAACTGGGGGCTGTTTTTATACCTTCGGGAGTGACAAACGGGAGGGGGAAAGTCTGAGAGGCTGGTAGTTAAGCACTCAGGGTCGGGTGGGTTTGGGGAGACTTAGGACCAGAAGAGCTTTTGGGGTCACCCTGCAAGGAGTAATTAGGCTGCCGGAGCCAGGGTGGGACCTTTATGCTTGTGGGCTGGCCACTGGGGCAAGGGCTCTGGGCCACAGCTGCCTAGGATTAAGGCATCCAAAGTTACAAGT